ACATAGATTCAAGATATAATGGTCAGGTATAAAAAGCCCACGACGGCAGATAGTTGAATGCCAGCTAAGCCCTGATCTGAGGTATCGGAGAGCTCCATAATGTCGCAGTTTGGCCCTCAGACTCTGCAGCTCAAAGAGGCCATAGTTGCTCTGGATGGACGCACCGGGACAGAGACTGAATCCAGACTGTAGGAGGTAGTTGGTTCTTATACCACAGAATCAGATCAGCTGTGTTTGTACGTACTCGGTGGGGCTGATCAGAAAGCTATTTGACTTATATAAGAGGGCAATCGTTTAGTTCCTTATAGTACTGGTATTGTGTCAGCAGTTCTGATTACATTGATATGAGATGAAACATTTAAGAAATGTCTCTATGTTGCTAATCATTCTGCTTTCTTTTCCCAGAGGGCCCTTATTAAGAAGAGCAGAGACAGCAGCTCTACACAGAACCCTATGCCTTGGCTTCTTCAATGCTACAAAACCACCGCCGTGGAGCTTCACAATTTGTCCTGTCTGATCCTGGGTCAAGGACCAAACGAGCCAGTGAGAGATAGATTATGTTATTGGTTAATGGTAATCATGCACTGTGACTGTATGATGAAGTGCCTTTACCCCACCCTTAGAGTTTCAGTGCTCTCTGTGATTAGGGATACTAAATGCAATAAAAAGAGAGGGGCAGACAAATGTGCCTCAGGGCGGCGGGAGGTTTGTAACTGAAAGCACATCAATGTCTGTTCACCTCGCAAAGATAAGAATCAAACCTTATCCTGTCCTCTTATGTTGTTTGCTGTGCTCAATAAGTGTCAATTCAGACAAATACGCGGGTAGTCCAAATGATGAATACAGAACAAACCGCTGGCAGAGATGGAAGACGGAGCTAGTGGGCCCGACAGACAGCAATACTCCAACCCAGCAGGACCACCGGTGACTAGGGGTCAAAGTTGAAGAGGTCACACAAGAGGTTCAGCCTGAATTGTGGAGGGAGAAGGATCAGGACAGCTCCATACTGCAGTTCAAGAGGCGGCAGAGGCGCGCGATGCTGCTTATGACATAAAAGTTTAATTGCGAACATAAGAGCATGTGAAGTTGTTGAGAAGCAACAGGATGTATTGTAGTGTCTCAGTTCTAGAAGACGTGCATGATCCATTTGTGAGTGCTTGTTATCCTCTTGGGCGTGACTCAACATCTGCCATCCCGAGATCCAATAAGAAGGAGGAGGGGGCCCATCAGACCCGGATACCCTGCAGAAAGAGTTATGCTTGCTGGGGCATGATTGCCAGAAAGCTGGTCAAGAGTGGGGACCCCGGCTCATGAGTAGGCTGCAGGCTGATGTCTAAGAGGAACACTGAGAGTTTGAGAGACAAAAAGCTTGAGATATTCGAAACTATGTTGCCACTCAGCAATGCACCACAATTAAATGTATTTATATTTTCGTGCGTTAAAAGGATTGACTTGTTTCCTGGCCCACCTCTACTGTATTAAACATGTGGTAACCGAGCATGTTTCTTAAGTTAAACAGAGCATCTAGTATTAGGTGCACTAATGTTAGCCCCCAGCACAGCATCCTGTATTGACAAGTACTTGTTCTAACACATTGATGAAGCGGTGAAGACGAATACAGGTCGAATCAATTACGCACGGAGTTTGAAGGGTTCATCGGGGTGGAGTCTCCCATAACTGGCAGAAAATAAGAATAAGTTCAAGAATGTGTTTCTAAGCATCTTAAGTAGGTGGAAGTTGATAAAAGTAGGTGTTTAGTGTATCATGGAAAACACCTTATTTATCGACAAGTCACGGTCGCACCATATGACATGATAGAACCACAGCCAAAATTATACTGATGGAAAACCCCTGAAGAGGTCTAAAAGAGATATGGAATTATGATTTCTGTATGTACAACATTACACATGTTTATTGATTGTGATGGATAAGTATTGAGGCTTTAAATTAGCTTGGTGAGGACCCTAATACATCAATGATCCGCCAACACTAATCCCTGTAGAAGCGAGGATCTCCACAGGGGTAGAGGTCATTGTAGATTTCTAGCCTATTTTATCTCCTGATGAACCAAGAAGGAAAACAGGT